GGCTGGTATGCAGGCAGGGCCAGGCCGAAGGGGAGCCTGTCCAAGAGGGAGGAAAGATTTGCAGCTTCAAGAGTTCTAGATACAGTTGAAGCTTGGGAACAGGTATAAAAGAAGGAGTTTGGGAAATGTTTCCATTACTGGGGAGGCCTTCCCAGGTACCAGAGATCCAGAGGGACAAAGAAGCCTGGGCCCCTGAGTTCTGGGCTGTGGTGACTGCACTGGGGCTGGGAAGGTGTGTTAGTGAGCTATAGCCTCAATCATTCTGCCTAACAAAGCTCCCCCAAACTCAGGGACATATACCGCATGCATTTCTTTCTTGCTGTCACATCGCAGGTTGGCTGGAGTTTAGTTCATCTGGGCTATACATAGCTGGGTGTGGCTCTGGGACATTATTGGTTCAGGTCTGCTCCACATTCCTCTCATCCTTCCTGGGCTCTCTGGGATGTGCTCTTATGGCCGTGACAGAGGCACTAGAGCACAAGTCCAGCTGCAGAAGCACTTTTAAAACAATGCTAATATCATTTATTTTGCTGGCTAAAGCAAGTCATACAACCAAACCTCACATCAAGGGGCAGGGAAATATGCACTGCCTCTATTGAGGGGACCTGCAAAGTCATGTGACGAAAGGTGTGGATAGAGAGGGGTAGAGAATTAGAGGTAGGTAACATGATCAAGTTGGTGTCTTCCAGCATGTCAAGGTGGTGGCCACTGCTCAGGATGGACCCCCACTAACTAAACTCACACAGCTGATACTTAAGCCAGAATGCCAATGTATTGACTTGCAATGAGAAGCCTAAGTATGTTGTGAACTAGATAACTCCTATCATCCACTCAGTGTATTCTTTTCTTATACCAAAGCTACCATGGAGCATCAAGTCATAATTCAAATTTTGCTTATGAACATGAAGACAAAGCAAGGGGCATTGGTTAGTGATCTTAAAGTGATCTTCAATTATCCAGGTCTCATTGCCACAGGCTCCATCTCTACTATAAGAAAATATCTGCCAAGTGAGTTCTTGGGCAGGCCGTCCCCCTTTAGATGGGGACAGTGCCAACTTATTTTATGAACTACGCTTTCATAGCTTCTCTGATTATTCTTGACTTACATTCTTTCTTTAGGTATGAGGTAACTGACTCAACTACAGCTTTAGAGAAAATGAAAGTATTCTTCTGTGACTATAAGCTGATCATCATATTGAGAGTTAAGGCATTTGCAAGACTCCCCATTTACCCAGTTGCTTTTGCATAGGACACGTTGCTGTATATTCATTAATATCTCTGAAATTACAATGGGTACAACTGACAACATCTCATAATTCCTGTTGGGCCACATGGTCATGAGGTGGTTGTCATTTGCTGTGTGTGTACAAACTTGCTGGTTATTCTTAAGGACCTGACCAGATGCCATAAAATAAATTTTAAAGGATTAGAAAACATTGTGTCATAGTTTAATTGGCAAAGTTTGTCCTACTAGATGGTATTAAAATAATGGTGGTCTTACTATCAGTGGTGACTCAGATGCTATCAAATTTAGTATTTCTACCCTGGAGCATTCCAGCAAGTGGATATCAGAAGTGAAACTATCACCATGAGTGAAGTAACTCCAGGCCCTGTGGGTGGCAAGTAATGAGGAAACAGGGAAAAAGAACTACTTTTTGTGTGGCTTTCAAAGCCTTTATGTATACTAGAATATCTTAGCTTCTATCTGCCTTCATTTTTTAAAAAATTATTTTTATTGAGGTATAATTTTCATATGATAAAAGTAAAATCCTAGATGAACTTTATGCATACACCCTGTACCCACTGTTCAGATCAAGATACAGAGCATCTCCATCACCCCCCAGGTGATGGCACCACTCTTTGTTGGTACCACTCCCAAACAAGAACAGCTGCTATTCTGATACCTGTCACCATAGATTCGCTTTGCCTAATCTATTGCATAAAATATGTACACTTTGGGGACTGGCTCCTTTTGCTCAATATAATATTTTTGAGATTCATCCCTGTTGTGATACATATCAATAATTTCTTCCCTTTAATTCCTGGGTACTAATCCATTACATGAATATACTACAATTTGTTTATCCATTTTCCTTTTAATAGATATTTGTTTCTAGTTTGAGCTATTACAAATTAAGTTGCCATGCACATTCTTGTACCTATGTCTTTTTGTGGATACTTGCACTCATTTATCCTGTATGTATATACCTTGAAGTAGAATTCCTTGAAGTAGGCCTAGGTATTAGTAGATAACTCCAATTTTCCAAAGTGGTTGGACCAAATTTTACTTCCATTAATAGTGTATGAGAATTCCAGTTGCTCCACATCCTTGCCAATGCTTGATGTGGTCAGTCTCTTAAATTTTATCCATTCAGCTGGTTACAAGGGTGTATCTTATTATGGTTTTAATTCAGATTTTCCTGATAAGTAGTAATGTTGAACACGTTTACATAGGCTTTAGATTTGTATATTCTCTTTAGTGAAGGGTCCATTCAAGTCTTTTTTGCCTTTTAAAAATTTCATTTGTCTTATTGGTTTTGAGATTTAAAAATATACATATAGTATGGTCATGAGTTCTTTGTTAAATGTATGTATTTAGAATATCTCCTCTCATTCTATGACTCGTTCATTCATTTTTTAGTGATGTGTTTTGTTAAACAAAGTTTTTCATTTTAATGGAAGTCCATTTTATCCTTTCTTAATTTTTAAGTGTTTCTTTTGTTTCTTTCATTGTTCTTGCTTTTTATGTCCAGCTTAAGAAACCTTTGCCTGCCTCTTATTTCCCTGGCCTAATAACTGGTGTCTCTTGCCAATTCATATGCATGCCAAAGTCAATGTATTTTCTTGATCAGGGAGAATGGAAATCAGGTCAGGCTAAATCTGGGTGAAGCAGAAAGTTCACCAGAGATTAAGTGAGGATGATGAAGTCAGCAGATTTGCAGAACAGACTGAAGCAGAAAGGGGCCCAACACAGATTTTTGATCCAAGGACCTGAAAGGAAAAATGTATTCTAGAGGATTTGTGGTTAGGTAACCAGGTAATTAACTGTATTGCTGTCTAGCCCACATTGTATCTCAAAGTGTTTTGACTCTTGTCAGACTCCTTCATAAAGTCAATCTTGACAAAGTTCACAACATAAGGTTTGTTTCCTGGAAACATTAAAAAAAGTCGACAAAGTTTATGTCTTAGGGATATGATGTTAATGAATGCCTAGTGGCCATCATTTTTCTTTTAAGTATTCAAAACCCATCATCTTAATAATCCTTTATTGACCATATTCAGAAAATAAAAACTCTACTTGGAGTAACATTTACCCCTTCCTAATCCTCTGACTCCTCCCTCATTCTGCATAAGTTTTCCTAAAAAAGATCAAAGTCAATAATTCCATGATCTCATGTGTTTTCCTACAGTCCAGGATAAATGTTTGGGTTTGCTTTTCATAATGAGACTCTGGCAGGTACCAAATGGAACTGCCCAGGCAACAGGGACCAGAGCCAAGTGGGAGCTGGCAAGAAGCACAGGGCATGCAGGGAAAAGGCGGTGCAGCTGAAGCTCTGGAGGACAGAAGCCTGTGTCCCAAAGTGGACTGAGATCAGATCTGAGTTGAGTGGAGTTGGGTTGAGACCCTGCAGCTGAGGAAATGGGCTCTGGAGGTCATGCAGCTGTGGGGCTTTTCTGGGAAGGCAAAACAGCTGTACAGTGAGAACATACCTCCATGCCATGCCATTCCAAGAGCTTTCGCCTCAGAATACTGGGACAACAAGAATGGAGCTGAGTTTCCTAGCAGATAGTCATTGGCAAGAACAAGGTGGAGAGCAGCCACTCAGCATCCACGAAGGCCATCTGGATGAGGCTGGGTGAGGGCCTCCACCCTCAGCATGGATGAGCATGTTGCAGAAGAATGAAAGGACTCTTGGGAGTCAGATGTACCTGCTTCTAATCCTGACTCTACCACTTAGTGATTGTACAACATCAAGGAAGCTGATATCTCCATCCTAAGATTAATAAGAGGCTCTAACAGAAGACTGTATATGAAATGCTAAATTTCCCGTTTTCCTCCTGTTTCTTTGGTTCCTCCTTCCTGTTGGTCTACCCAACAGATAGCTCTTAGGCCTTGTCTTTCGTGCTCACATTGCAGCACCGGCTTAATTGAGGAATCATGGTATTTTGAAAGAAAACCTTCCCTTCGCTCCTGTGTAGATCCCTCTGTTTCATGAAAACAGCTACCGTGCGCTAGGGCTACTGCAAAAAAACACTGCAGACTCAGTGGTTTGAATAACATGCATTCATTTTTCTCCAAGCTCTGGATGCTGGAAGTTCAAGATCAAGGTGCCAGCAGGATTGTGTTCTCCTGAGGCCTCTGTCCTTGGTTTGCAGATGGCCACCTCTTGCTTCCTCTTCAGTCTTCCTCTGTGTGTGCACCTCCCTGGTCACTCCATTTGTCCTAATCTCCCCTTCTTATAAGGACACTGGTCAGATTGGATTAGGGCTTAACCTAACAGCCTCGTTTTAACTCAGTTGCCTCTTTAAAGGCCTTACCTCAAATACAGTCACATTTTGAGGTACAGGGGTTAGGGCTATGACATATGAATTTGGGGGACAAAATTCAGTTCATAACAGTTGTACATGCTGATAATGCTCACACTTGAATCTTGAACATATGTCACTCCTTTAATGTACATGCCTCTTCACTAGGTGGCCTACTGACACAAATTCAATAATTCCGGAATTCAACACATTATCCTTTCCCTAAATCCATCCCTTCCTTGCCAACCTGTAAATTTATGTAAGATGAGCACTATCTCATATGAGTCTTACCCATTTGTTGAGTCAGTGTGAATAGGAAAAATTGAGAAGAGCAGTATATATGCACAAGGAGGGGCCAGCATAAATATGTAGCCTGGTCTGAAGCATGTGGCCTTGGAGTCATCACTTATTTTTGCTACCTACTGCCCGTTGACTTTGGAAACATTGTTTTGCATCTTTGTACCTCTTTTCAGGTTGATTAGGATACCACCCTCTCATGGATGTTGTGAGAATGATATGAGACTGTGTGTGTGGCCCAGCTGTGTACCCTTGGGCCTTACCATTCCAGTTCACACCAGCTGACTTTTGGCACCTACCATTTGCATCTCTCTGCCTAAAGAGAGCAGCAGTGGCCTTCAACCAACAGTTGATGGAAATTGGTATGTACATACCCTACCGCCCTCACCGTATCAGTTGGGATCACTCTGACACTTGTGTTTGACATCATTTGCCAGAGTTTTCTTGTGAGATTAAACTCCAGGTGTTGACAGTGGTAACTGGCTTGAAAAACATCTTTCCCTTCCTTGTCTCATTCCTCATTCATCTATTAGTATTTTCTGGAATCCTCTCCCCTAGAGATTACTTGCCATGGAATCTTTGTCTCAGGGTCTGCTCCTGGTGTGACCCAAACTAAGGCAGGATTTTTGAGTCTTATAGTTTGAGTGTCTGTGTCTCCCCAAAAATGGTATGTTGAAATCCTAATGCCCAAGTTGATGGTATGAGGAAGTACAGCTTTGGGGAGGTGTTCAGGTCATAATGGTGGAGCCCTCATAAATAGGATTAGTGCCTTATGAAACAGACCCCACAGAGCTCTCTAGCCCCTTCTCTCTGTGAGGACCCAACAAGAGGTCCTGCAGCCAGAAAGAGGCCCCTCACCCAATCATACTTGACAGCCTGATCTAGCACTTCCAGCCTCCAGAGCTGTGAGCAGTACTTTTCTATTGGTTATAATAATTGGTTTTTGTTATAGCAGCTCCAGAGGACCAAGACAGAGTATGTCAAAGCTTGTCTCAGTGCCTAGCATCTAGCGAGTGCCCAGAACTGTGGTTATTTCTGCCATTATTAAGTCATTCATCAATATAAAGCCCATGGTGTCCATGGGTGGGAGAGCAGTCCTGCCATCTGTGTACATCTTCACGCTGCAGCAGGAAGCCCTGTGCGGGCATAGCAAGGCTGTGAGAGTCCAGTTAATAATGGTCAATTTAGAACATTGGCTCCCCAAGGAGGGAAAAATTGTTTTTTTCAGTGACAGTCAGGGACAAAAAACCTTAGTCTTTCTATGTATACATCACAGAGGTACATATGACATATCAAATATACAGTATATGTATGTGGTATTGAAATTCAGGCAGGGGCAGGGGGGTGGCCATTAGAAGAAATGTCAAAAAAAACTCTTGAGAGGGGAGCGGTAGCAATGATGATGAAACCCCACTGGTTCATAATAAGTGAGGAGAGTTATTGTTGACATCACCTGGCTTTGGACTTCCTGAGGGGTACCCTTTGGCTTGCAGGGTTCATGCCCTCTTCTCTGGAGTGGGGGTTAGCAGTTGAATTTTCATAAAGTTGTTTGGTTAAGTTTGCCCAGTGAAGCACCAGGCTTTTTGGCAAAACATGCATCTGTTTGTGGTTCAGATTTTCCTGGCTCCTCTTACAACCAGACTTGGTTATGTTTTGAGAACCACGAGGCTTGGCTCTGATGGACAAGATGACCAGTCTGTCCAGCACAGTGTGCTTTGAATCTTTCCTTCTGGTTTCTCCAAAGTATCTCTTCCTCCTGGCTGACAGCACTGAAGTTGACAAGAAGGAAAAAGGACCTAATTCATTTGTTTCAACCCATATTTCTTTTGTTAAAGTGTGATTGCTAAAGGCTTTCAAAAACAGAGCTCTCCTGCAGACATGTAGTGAGTGAGGCTTACAGGTTTATTTCACTCATTAGGAAGCCATCAGTAGGAAGGCCAGGCTAGAAAGTAGGACACAGGAGAATGATATGTCCATGCAATCAGTTCAAAGCAGGGCTGCTGAAAAATGCTCATAACTTAGACACAAAACTAGTTGCCACTATGCAGGACAAACTATCATCTTTGGAGTTGTTCCCTGGATAAATGTACTTTTCAAATTATATTGGCATGATTATATCTGGATATTCTGGACAATTTTTCTTAAGTTATCATTGAGATTCACCTTAACATTTTCTATACCAGTCAGTCTGGGCTATGAAATTGTAACAAGCTTTAGTTCTTCATTTTCCCTTTTGAGTATCTGAAAGACTAACTAGAAAAGTTGAACTAACTTGTCTCTTTTTTTACATCAAAGGCACCTGGAAGCCAGGTGCATTCAGTGGTTCTCTGTAAATGTTTATGATACCCTCATATGTAGCATTTGCCTATTTCCATGGGGTAAATACTCTGGCCATGGTGAATTTCAGTCTACCAATGTGATGTCATTAAAAGCAGAGTTGGGAAGAGATACATACAATCAGTATTGTGAGCCACTATTTTCCGGTTCCAGCAGATCACTGGGAGTATGCTCTGACATACATGTTTATGTTATTATCATGACATTCAAGTTACTTTCCAAGGATATAGAATCAGGGCCACTAGGTAAAAGTCTCTGAAGAAGCTGGAAGATCAGCTTATCCATGATTCTACAACTATAATCCCTGGATCCCTAAAATTCCTTGAGGGTCCCCTCATGGGTTACACCAACTTTAATTCAAATTTCTTTTTTAAAGTTATATTTAAAAAAAGACAGTGAAGGCTGTTATTCAACATAGTACTGGAGGTCCTACCCATGGCAATCAGACAAAGCAAAGAAATAAAAGGCATCCAGATTGGTAAAGAAGAAGTCAAACTGTCACTATTAGCAGATGACATGATATTGTACATAAAAAACCCTAAAGACTCCACTCCAAAACTACTAGAACTAATACCTGAATTCAGCAAAGTTGCAGGATACAAAATTAATAAACAGAAATCTGTTGCTTTCCTATACACTAATGATGAACTAAGAGAAAGAGAAATCAGGAAAACAATTCCATTCACAATTGCATCAAAAAGAATAAAATACCTAGGAATAAACCTAATGAAGGAAGTGAAAGACCTATACCCTGAAAATTACAAGACACTCTTAAGAGAAATTAAAGAGAACACTAACAAATGGATACTCATCCCATGCTCTTGGCTAGGAAGAATTAATATTGTCAAAATGCCATCCTGCCTAAAGCAATCTACAGATTCAGTGCAATGCCTATCAAAATACCAACAACATTCTTCAACAAACTGGAACAAATAGTTTTAAAATTCATATGGAACCACAAAAGACCCTGAATAGCCAATGCAATCCTGAGAAGGAAGAATAAAGCAGGGGGGATCTCGCTTCCCAACTTCAAGCTGTACTACAAAGCCACAGTAATCAAGACAATTTGGTACTGGCATAAGAACAGACCCACAGACCAGTGGAACAGAACAGAGAGTCCAGATATTAACCCAAACATATATGGTCAATTAATATATGATAAAA